CATGGAAGTTACAGACTCAGAGGAGGATTCTGCAGCAGATGAGGACTCTTTATTTGAGCCGGACTATGATGGGATGCAGGGAGAAATAGACGAGGCTCTGCCAGCCCGACGTTCCAATCTCCCTGCATGGATTAAGGCTTTGAAGAAGATGAATGCAGGGAAAAAGCACAGATAGTGGCTGTAAAACAGAAAATGACTAACATCTGGTCCACTGGATTACTAATGTTTTTAAAATAAATTTGACAAACTTCATATTTAAAATGTAGTTTGTTAAAAGCATATTTATCTGGTTCTGAAAATGACAGTATTTTTAATGTGTTTTTAAGTGATTTTAAACCAGAAGACATCTGAGATTGTTTGCTGACATAATTCTCTGAGTTATTTTCTGTAGTTTTCCGGTAATACATGGAGAGAATGACCAAATAAACCAACAGTGTGTGGCCTCTTCAGGCACAATGTTCTGCTCAGAAGCTGCTTTATTACCAGTCATTCAGTTATATTTTCTACCAGCAGAAATGAAGATGAAAAGAAATGAGGGAAACATTTTTCTGCAATTGTCTGAGAATTATGATGTGTTCCTCTCCATGTACGTCCTACAGGACAGCAGCTGTTTGCTGTCTGATCTAACGTCTTTGTTACTGACGCTCAGTACATATCCTGTCTCGCTATAATGATGCTCTGCCAGACCATTAGAGCAACTGGCTCCCAAGGGAGGAAAACAGTATTAGCTCAAGATGCTGTTGATGATTCTCTTCTTCATCAGTTCTCTAGCTTAGATGTTTGCTTGAAAGCTTCAAGTGAAGCGTCCAAGTCAGTACTTTCTTCACCCTATGAAGAAAAAAAATGATTATGAGCAATGGTGAATTACATGAACGTATTAGTGACCGACGGTAAAATGCACTAGGGAAAAAAACATTTGGTGAATCTTAAAATGTTTTTAATATGTGCTTATTGGCTTTTTTTGTGACTTAGATCAGAGTAATGGTACAGTTTGAAAACAAATCCATGCTTTTATATAAATTAAAAAACATTTGATACCTGAGTTTTGTTTTAGTGCTCATTTATAGAGATGAGTTATTAAATTCTTTCTATCTATCTATCTATCTATCTATCTATCTATCTATCTATCTATCTATCTATCTATCTATCTATCTATCTATCTATCTATCTATCTATCTA